AACTCTAATTGACCCTGCCACTTGGCTCCTCAGAAAGGGTCTCTTTTCATTCTGTTGAGAATGTTCTAGTGATGCAGAAATAACAGATAATGTTGCAAATACTGTTGACAAGGCAAAGGACATTGATAGTGAGAATAAAGAGCTTAACTTTCTAAAAGAGCAAGAAAATTACTTGTAAGAAAGCTGATTCAGCCTTTGGTTCACCAATTAATTTTTTAAAGACAGAAATGTTACCAAGCCCAATAGGTCAGGGACTAAACATTCTTCATTCTTGTTCAATAAAAAAGAAATGAAGGCAAACAAAAGCTTTAGAGCAGAGACCTTCTGGGTAATATGTACTCCACCAATCTCCTGACTAGTATTTAGAAAGCTGTAAGTTCACAAGAGCACCAGAAAACTAAAACAGATCCTTGGCCTCCGACACTTGGCATAAACATGTGGTTTTACTAAGAAGTTGATAAAGTACCTTTGAATTGTATTTCTCTGCTTGAGAAATGCTTTTATATGAACATTGCATAAAGATTCTATATTTTCAGTTTCTTCTTGCTGTACACATCCTCGAAATAATCAAGATTGTTAGGAAATATTTATAAATGCTTCACTCATAGAACAACTGAAGATTTAGAAGCCAAAATTCCTGCAATATTGAAAGGACCAATTTTTAAATATAGAACTATGAACATAAAACTAAATTATTTACAAAATATTTTAAATGGTTGACTGCATTGACACCTACATAAATTATGTCAATTACTGTCATATATATTAGAAATTCAGAATAATACTGTGTAGAATCAAGTGTGCACTTAAAAAATTTAAATTCCAATGTAAATAATTTCTTTTTTTGCGGGGTGGGGGTTCAATACAGAGTTTCTCTGTGTAGTTTTGGTGCCTTTCCTGGAACTCACTCTGTAGACCAGGCTGGTCTCAAACTCACAGAGCTCTGCCTGGCTCTGCCTCCCGAGTGCTGGTATTAAAGGCATGTGCCACCACCGCCCAGCTGTAAATTATTTCTTAAACATTAATTCAAACATATTTTTGTGTTATTTTTTGGCTAAACAATATGTTTGCTAAATATGTTATAAAGTAATTAGGATTTCAGTTTTTATGTGGATGATTTGTTAATTCTTTCTTGGTTGTTTTAAATTTGTCATAATTTTATTGCTGCACTATGATTAATAAGGCTGGTTGTCTTTTTATTGTTTTTACCACTTTTTCATACATTGTAAGCTTTTCATATTGATTATTTTAAAATGTTAGCTAAAATGTCATTTAAAATATAAAATTAAGGGTTTTATCATACTTAATGATTAAAAATAAATATAATAATGTCATTTAAAATTTTCGATTTGAGTTCTTTGAGAGTTCTCCACCTCTGTTTCCCAAATTCTTCACAGATTCAGCCCTCTTCTCTACTCACCAAACTTTGTTCCCTTTAAAACAAACAAACAACATCAAAACCAATTTGTGCTTCCCGAAGGACTACAGTCTTGGAGAAAACTATCTTTCCTTTGGTCAAATTAGTTGTCAATAGTTCCATGGTTAGCAGTAGGATTTCATGTCCAACTCCAATCTCCACAAAGATTTTTACAAAGGTTTTGCAAAGGTCTTATATATGCTGAAGAAATTTCTATGAGTTCATATATCTAGCTTCTCTGCTATGTCCAGAAGACTTGCTTGCCTGTAGTTACTCACTACCTCTGACTCATAAACCATTTCATCTTCTCTTCTGCAACTATTTCTGAGCCTTGAAATGAGGAAGTACTGTAGCTATTTTCCATTTAGGACTGAGCACAGGCTCTTATTTTCTGAATCTAGGCCAATTATGGGTATCGGTTTCACTATTCACTGTCATGAATAAAGGCTCCTAATGTTGTTCAGCTATTACCTCTGAAACATGTCCTCCTTTAGGGAAAAAGTTGGCTTATGGATTCTGTAAGCTAATGAAACGTACTATTAAATAATTTTAAAAAGTTACAAAATTCAAAAAATGCCTTTCCAAATTTGTAAAAATAATGAACAATTGATGAGAAAGAGAAGAATCTTCAGAGCTGACTATGAAGTTGGGCTGGAAGCTCCAAGGATATAGCTTTGAGAACCATCACCCATGTTGGGGTGAGCATTTTGTGATGCAGCTGCCATTGAGTCACTCATAGCTTTGAACGGACCCCTCAGTCGTGCTGTTGGAAGTAACTCCAAGAAACTCATTGATCCTTAGACCTGGATGAAATTATTTTTGGCCTGCCATCTGTGTCTGATCTAGGTTGAAAAGACATTGTCAAACCATTCTCAACTTGAGATTTTGAATCCATGGGAACAATACAATTTTAGGTATGTCTCTAAGGGTTTCTGATATTGGTTAATTGAAATGAGAATACTCATTTTAAATGTGGGGGCTTCCAAATGTGTGCTACTTCCTGTCTACCCAAGCCTTTATTGTCTTTCTGTTCTGCCCTCTCATTGGCTATCTTAGCCCAGTTACCTCATTTCTTCTTTCTACACAGCTCTGTTACTTTCTGTCTGCCTAAAAGACCTCCAGGTCTCTATGGTGGGTACTGGGATTAAGGGCATGTGTCACCATGCTTGGTTCTGTTCACCAGTGTGGCCTTGAACACACAGAGATCCTGCCTCCTAAGGGATTAAGGGCATGTACTGCCTGACTTATTGTTTACTTAAAATGGCTGGCCTTTTCCCCCTGATTTCCAGGCAAGCCTTATTTATTAACATACAAATAAAATATCACCACATTTCAGCACAAATAAAATATCACCACATTTCAGTACAAATAAAATGTCACCACACTCGCTCCCCTCTTTCCTTTCTTTTTTCTTTTCTTTTCTTTCTATTTTTTTTTTAAATCCAAGTTCTCATTCTAATCCTGCTTGGTCTGGTTCTCTTTTATGTAGACCTAAGTTTGAAATCATGGCAATCACTTTTGTTGGCCTTGTGTGCATTTTGACTTGAGGTCTGGACTGCTATACAAACCTAGTCTCTATTCTTTTTCTATTTTGAATCCTTTGTTTCTACCATGAAAAAGAACTTCTGCTTTGCTACATTGTCTCCCCATTATAAAGTCTTATTCAGGAATAGGTAGAGTAGGCATGTTTTGATATGTATAGAGTAAGTATAGTTGACTATAGCTATACCTAAGTTAACTATAATAAATATAAATAATTATTTAATAATGTGAGTTCAATCATTCTTAATTTATGTTTCTGATATCTTTATGAAGATTCAAATTGGAATATTCTCCCAGATATTACTTACTACATATGGAAATAGAAAAGGTTAGGAAAAGACAAATTATGGTGACATGGGAAGAGAAGCTTCATCTCAGGACTTGTTTGCCTGTCCCGATGACAGGGTGGAAATCTCAGGCACCACTGATAAAGCTAATATTGCTGAAGAACGAAGTACAGGTTTTCTTTAAACCAACACAGAAATGAGACTGTCTTTACTTAGGGCACATATCATGTATAACTTTGAGATTTTAGAATTCCTCTCTTATTTTTTAAGTCTGAATGAATGAAGTCCCCCACAAGGCCACCCTACAACTATGTTTACAAAAGAAAATACTTTACATTTTAGTCACTGGTGTTTAAACTATACTCTTTGAGCAATGCTTTCAAAAATGAGGGAGAGTGTCTTAGAGGCCTTTATAGGTGTAACTTGAGAGCCATCTAAGTTCTATATGTAAAAATTATAAAGACAATTTACTGTGATTATCCTTATAAGACCCCATATTCATGCTTGGGTCACTTATTCTTCCCCCAATTATCTCTTTTTCCATTAACTCCTGTGCTACAATTTCTATGTTAGAATGCATCTTAATGAATCATGAACTCTACTTCTTGGTCTCATCCTGAAATTCTTCTCTTCATCAAAACTGTGAATCCTACATTAACCTGAATGGAAGTCCTGACGTGGAAAGGGAGTTAGTTTTTCAGGCTGCTATGCGTGGATGGTTGTGGCAGGGGTGGAGCAATGTTTCTGTACTCCTCACCAACAGAAGAGTAGATCTTTCTTGTATGTGTTCTGTATGAAAATCAAGGTTCTGTTTTCATAATGGCACTTGGAAAAAATACAGTCATAACCAAAACATTACCTAAGTAAGATCTGGGACTTATTTTTTTAGGCTAAATTAAGTTAATTACACCCAATTCAGTGATATGGTGATTATGTTTAAAAGTAACTCATTTAAGAGCCAAATTTAAATATAATGTTAGAAACAAAGAATGAAAACTGAAATGTATAGTCAACCCTAGAAAAGGTTCAGATTGTGACTTCCCAAGCATAATGGAAGTTTGTCATGATATATCATTGAAAGAGGAAAATTCAGGTATTTCTAAAACTGGGTAGTCTGGAGCAATAGCCAATTCATGTATCAGTGTCCAAATATCATCCTTGATGTTTACAGCAAGAAATGATTTAAGAGAAGAAAAAAGTAAGATTTATAATTTTATGATTTTTTCTTGCTATAACTATTTGAAAATTAAAAAAAATCCCATTAGAATTAATCATAACATATTTAAAAACTTGTGTTTCATAAGAGGAATATTTATACAAGAAATTTATCTTTTATTTAGTACTTACAAGCTCAAGTATTCCCTTTACAGATTTGATATTTATATGTAAGATTCATTTATGCAGAACATTTATATTCATTATTCACTAACAATTTCAAACTTATAAATGTATTTATAATAATTGCATTTGCTTTTATGATGTCTTATGCAAAGTGTAGGAGACTATCTAAGAAGCATTGCCTGTTCTGGTCACTGAGGGAGACATAGCATCTGACATATTGGTATCTGAAGCTCATATCACCCTTTGTACTACTACTGGCCAATATTAACTATAGTTAGCATTATGCTTGCTACAGTTAGGTTGGAGTTGTCAATAATGGTAATACTTCAATTGAAATCAGTGTTTTGAATATCAGCTGAAAATTTCACTTTCTTAATGTAAAAATCTTTTATTGTTTATTTTATTGTAGTTATTACGGAAAACTAGCAGTGAATCATGGGACAATACAAGCAGCCTGAATCCACAGTTGACCTGCTGTTTGTTAAGGCTTGGCTATAGACATTAACATGTAATCACTAACTCCAATTAACATGCCCATCACATGGACAAGTAGGTTACATAAACTACTCATCACAACCCAGTCAGGTCAGTGATTATAATTTTACTTTATAGATGGAGAAATTGAAGTTTGGAGATGTAACAGCAATTTGTATATTTTCTACAGGCAAAATAGTAAGTGTGATTTATATGCTACCAATGTGATGGGGTAAAGGTTTGAGGGCCTCAGATGAATTTATCCTGTTACAAACATAAAGAAAAGTTTATTTCATACATTGTAAGGGGCAGACAGATGGGCTTAACAGATGCAACACAGACATTGGAATTCAGAGATCTCCCTTCTAGAAGAGTGGTTTGGTTGGGGTGAGCTACTCCACATGCAGTTTCTAGGCTAGTCATCCCTGCCATATGACTAAAAGGCAGATAAGATTGACAGGTGTTCAGGTGAGAATGGGTGTGCAAGGATGTTCATGTAACTTCTACCAGTGCAATCTCTGCTGTACAAATGGCACACATACACATAAGAGCAGTCATGGTTGCTCAATGTCTGGTACTGAGCATTAGGATCTGCTTCTTTAGTCTAGGTTGAAGTCTAATGTGAATAGATAATGAACAAATGAAGTAAAAATTCTCACTTTGACAATCAATTTAATAATATTGTATCTTATTTGCAATAAATTTTTAAAAATATTTATTATATATCCGATATCAACATAATAAAGGTAGGAGAGTGTGTTAGTAACTAGCTCACCCTGAAGAACTGGTTTATCATGATATCAATCATAGCTCAACAAACATAGCTATCTCATTAGCTGAGTGACTTTGCACAACTTATTTGCTGTCTCGATGCATGCTTCCTTAGCTGAACAGTGGTGATTGTAATAATAATAATGTCCGAGGTCTGTTATAAGAATAGATTTAATTAGTTTGTGACTATGACTCTATAAATCCACAAAAAGCATTTAGTTCTTGACAGTTAATTTAGTGATTTGGGTTATTGTTTTCAGAATTAGCACACAAAATTCTAAACTTGCATTGATGTAAAAATGGATGGATTTGCTCCCGTCAAGGAAAGCATTTGGGCTAACTGCAGATCTTCACCTCTCCCTCTGTACCCCAAATCTTACCCCAAGATCTATAGCAGACCACCTGTTTTAGCCTCCCTTTCTTCTCCTCTTCCATCTCCAGTGTATCACACAGTTTTTTGCCTCCTAACTCCCCTCACCACATTCACTGAATTAGTCCATCCCCAACTCCAGCAGACATCCCCTGGGAAGCTATAGCCCACTCCAGTAAGAGAAAGAGGTAGGCTAACTATACATCTTCACACCTCTTCCTCAGCTCCTCCAAAACCAATGCCCCAGTCTCATAACCAGGTCTACAGGAGACCGCCTGCTGTGGCCTCCCTTCTTTCTTTATTCACATCTGCAAAGCATCACAAATATCTCCCCCTCCAAATTTCTTTCTCCCCATTCATTGTTATATACCCATCCACAACCACAACAAGATATTCCTGGGAAATCTGTAGACCACTCTAGCCCAGAAGCAAGTAGGTTAACTGCAAATATTCCCCTCTCCCTCAGCTCCTCCAAATTCAACCCCCCAGTCTCATTCCCAGCACTTTAGCAGACCATTCCTCTCTCTCTCCCTGCTCCCAAATCCCAGGGCACTAAGCAGATCCTGGGCCCAGGAAAATTCTCTCTGACTGATTGCTACCAAGTACTGCAGAGACATCATCTGGCTAGAACCCAAAAGGAGAAGCTGGAATCAATTCTAGGCCCTGTGTTCAGGGTCCATGTGAGACAACGCTGGACATCCCTGATCTGTTTAGGGGTATGTATCCTTGTGTGGTTGCCCCCTGCTGTTTTGTCTGTATATGCGTCTCTCTAAATGATTGTGTTTCCATGTACGTCCCTCTGTGTGTTTCTGTCAGTTCTGTTGGTTGGAGAAACAGAACTAAAATTGAAGGGGGAGTGATCCGTCCAGTGACTACAGCCACAGCTCACCTCCAGGCAGTGCACATTTTGCCAAAGGCTGATAGGCTACACCAAGCTACTCACCTGTATTGTGGCACTCCCTCTTCCTGTGGCAAGTGTGGCCATGGCAGCAGCAGGCTGCTGCTGTTTCTATGGCGATGTCTGGGATTCCCAAGTGGCAGTGGTAGTCTCGACTTTCCCTGTGATAACCAATGATTTTCTCTGATGAGAGAGACACCTCTCCATTCCACCCTTCCCCCCGCCCCCCGCCCCTTGCCTTAAGAACCATGTCTCATGTTGGATATCTGAATCCTCTTGGCCTGGCCAGGTTGGGCAAGGAAACCCAAAACCATCATCGGTTCTTTCATCCTTGCTGGATGAAATTGACTTGTTCATCCCTTCCTGTCCTGGATCATTCATTCCGGCTTTTTTAGTGGCTTGATTTCTGCTCGCAGTCCCCGAGTCCTGGTACTGTTTTCTCTGTGGAGGTGGAGAGGGCCTCAGTGTGGTTTTAGGAGGGGAAAAGAAATCCTCCAGCTTCTTGTGCTCCATGCTCCTATATAAGCCTGCTGTGAGTAGCTTGTTCCTGGTAAGGGGGAAGCTATTCCCTAAGTTGTGCCAGGAGTTGGGGTAGTGTGGGGTAAAAAGGGCCAAGGAAAGAACATCCTGACCCTGACTTGCTCCCGAGACCAGGGTGAAAGAAAAACACCCTGATCCTGACTTGATTCAGGGACCAGGGCTTGAAATCCACCAATCCCTGAATATAAATCCCAGCATTCCTTGAGCTTGCCTCAGAATCAAGCTATAAAACCCCACAAATTCCAAGCCCCTCTTAGAAGCTCTGCTCCCAAGAAATGCTATATAAGCTCTGTACTCTGTTCACACTGTTGGTGCTTCTCACCCTGGGGGCAGCCATCATCCTGGATTCTTCCTTCCCAATAAATCTCTTGAATGAGTTTTGTTGTGTGGTGGTAACCCCAGAGTGGAGCCCAGCTGTAACAATTTTTGCCTGAGACAAGAGAGGAGCAAAACTGTAACACTTTCACTGGGGAAAATTTTTCCAAGAGAAGCATAACTGTAACACTTTCTCAGGAAAATTATGCTAGCTGAAGAAACCTTTCCCAGGGGCAGAACTGTAAACTCTATGCTTACAGGGACATTGTGGTATTCTTTGGCTCCCAAATGCCAGTATCCCTTTCCATCTGAGCTGCAATGCTTAATAGGTAGGCTTCCACCAATCTTGAGAAGATGTCTACAAACACCAGAAAATAGTTATAGCTTGTCATTGTTACAGCTCTGATGGAAAGATATCCCAGCAGTCAGGAGTCAAGGAATATCAAAGTCACACCACACAACAAACCTTATACAAGAGATTTATTGGGAGGGAAAAAACAAACAAACAAACAAACAAACAAAAAACCAGGAGGGTGGCTGCCTCTGCTCAGATGAGAATCATTGGAGAACTGATCACAAGACAAGGTTTATATAGCTTTTCTTGGGGTGTGGGGTGGAGCAGAGCTTTCCAGGGTGAAGTCTTTCAGGATGGAAGATTGGTGGGATTTCAAATCCAGAGCTTGTGCTTTTTGCTCTGTAGAGTGCAGTTAGTCTATGAAACCTGGCAGTTGGAGGTCCTTAGGGGGGTGGGCCTAGCTACTTGAAAGCCACCCCGGGGGGGGGGGGGCGGCTTATATAACCCTGATTTCAGTAAAGTCCAACTCCCAATGTCCCTCAGAGTCATTTCCTTGAGCTTGGATCTCTTGTATGATCTTCCTTCCCCTTTTGCAGTTTACTTGAGCACAGGTGGCACATTTAAATCGGGCTTTCCAAATTTATCACATAATACCTGGGTCTGAGGAGTTCAGCAGTTTTCCTGGCTTCTAGGTGGGTAGCTTGGTGGAAATCCTTAACTATTTGCTTTTCCAGACTTGTGAGAAGAATGAGTCTGCCATTCAGTAGCATCCACCATCTGGATTTATCCTGTGTGTCCAGTTCTTATTTTTGCCAGTCAATCTCACACCGGGTATATACCATCTTTCAGTGTGATATGGTAAACTGGGCTCTGGCAAGGTTACAACGACTTGTAGGGGCTGCCTGGTTCTAGGGCCACTTCCTTGGCAGGTAAGTCAGTTGCTCTGTGTACTCTGTCATCTGGAGAATCCTCTTTTTTTGTGTGTCCTTTACAATGGACAATGATCATCATTTTGGGCAAACAGATAACTTCCAACAGGGTTAAGGTTTATTCTCTATTTTCATTTTTATTTTCCCTCTGAGTATAGCAATCCTTCCCTGCATGGGCATGGGCCATGACAAAGCATATTGGCTACCAGTGTATATGGTGATAGCTTTGTCTTTTCCAAAGTCAAAAGTTTGAGTCAATGCTAAAAAGCTTAGCTCACTGAGGTGAAATTTCCATACTTAAAAGATTGTGCCCCAAAGAGCTTATCTTGGGTCACAACTGCTGCCTCCTGCATACCTGATTCCATTTTGTATGAAACTTTCTCCCAGCTGTGAACAATACCACATCTGGGGTCATCAATGGGTAGTACCATACTTGATAGATTGGATCAGGTGAGTCACCTAAGGACAGTCCTGCAGGGAGTTATTTTTGTGGCGGGAAACTATGAGGGTAAAGAGCTGACATCTTGTGGGGCCAGATGTGTTATTGATACAGAAACAGGTCTTGGCATTGGGTCTTGAGGGCATAAGACATCCATCTCTCAGGTAGACCCCCCAGGAGCACTGTCAGGAATAGTTCATGCAACAAAGTTAATTTGCCAGCTTCTTATACCAGCAGGGCAGTGGAAGCTATGGCCATTATATATGCTGGCCACCCACCTATGATCAGTTAAAGTCTCTTGGCCAGATATGCTGCCAATCTTTTCAAGGTCCCAAGGATTTTCATGAGGATCTCCTAGGCAATGCCCCTGGACTCATCCATATACAAATAGTATGTCTTAGTAATGTCTGGGAGAGTGAGGGCTGGGGAAGACACCAGGACCTTTTTCAATGCATGAAAAGATTCTCTGCTCAGTCTAAGTCCATTCCAAAGGCATATACCCCAATGCTGGTGTATAGGGGGTTGGTTATCTAAGCAAATTCCATTATCCATAGGCAGCAGTACCTAATCAGCCCCCAGGAATTTCTGTACTTCTTTTTTAATGTGGAAGTGGAGATTGCAGGATGGATGAAATACTGTACTGGGAAAGCATTTGCCCTCCTTCTTCTACATTATAGCCTAAGTAAGATACCTGAGAGGTGCAAAGCTGACATTTCTTGGCTGATACTCTGTTCCTCCTTTGCTGATACTGATGTTCCTTCTCTGTGGTTGGAGTTAGAACTACATCTATACAACAGAGTAGGGTACTCCCTGGATACCTACATTCAGGGCCCAATCAAACAATGCTGGTGACTCCAAACCCTCAACTCCTGGTCTATTGGCCCCATTTCTCTCCTCTTTGTTTTCCCAAGGGCAGTGATCACCACAAGAAAGATTTCATTCCCTTCATGTCTTTAACTGAATCTCAGTTTGGTAAATTTTCTGAGCAATTTGCCAAAGTCAAGACCTATTCATCCCTTTAAATCCTTCTAATTTAGTGGGATTTTTCGTTATGTCTAGGGCTGACTGCATGAAAAAGGCATTATTAGTTGTTTGTCACTTGTTTCCAGGAGTATCTGGATCTATGGGGTAAATACCCCATATGTCTCACAGAGCCTATCCAGAAACCCAGAGGACAACTTAGGTCCTTGAGTAACCTGACCTACCCAAAATTACCTGGTAGGATTTCTGGCTACAACTTTTAATCCTCTTAATAAAGATTTGTGAAAAAGGCATCCGTACCCTATATCTTAAACGAGTTTCTAACATGTTGATAAGGTTCTGTGGCTTCTCCAAAAATGGAGAGTCTGAGTATTCCAATTTTATAAATCACTGGTGGAGAACAAAACCTAAACCATGAATGGAGAAGGAGATGAGCCCCTTTCTGCCCAGACCCCTGCATAACTGGGGGTGGTACTCCCCTACCCTCCCCAGGAACAACTGGCTACAAGTCAGGCAGGGGAGGCTTACAGACTCAGGGGCTTCTTTCTCATTCTTGCATGCACTCTGAGGCCCTATGATGGTCTGAATGAAAATGGCCGGCATTGGCACGCAGGGAGTAGCACTATTCGAAGGTATGGCCCTGTTGGAGGAAGTGTGTCACTGGGTGGGGGAAGGCTTTGAGGTTTAGCTCAAACCAGGCCCAGTGCCACTCTCCCTGCTGTCCACTGATCTGGATGTAGAGCTGTCAGCCACCTCTCCAGCACCATGTCTGCCTGTGTGCCACCATGCTTCCTGCCATGATGACAGTGGGCTAAACCTCTGAACCTGTGAGCAAGCTCCAATTAACTGTCTTCCCTTCTAAGAGTTGCTGGGATCATGGTGTCTCCTCACAGCCATAGAATCCCTAATTAAGACAGGACTTCCCCTCTCCTCTAGAGAAGAGGATCAGGACCCCATCACTGAGTTAGAATCAATCCACTAAATAAGCTGGAAGCAAGGATGCCAGAACCCAAATAGGGTGAAGGTCAAATTCCTCTGGTGGGCCTGAAAGAAAATATTGAGGTTTGGAGGGTTTCTCTGCGTAACCCCGCTGGGTCAAAAGGATTCAGGTCCCCAGGGTGCAGGGGTATGCTAGCATAAGAAAAACCATTGGTTGTTATAGCGAAACTGTGTCTCAGGTACTACCTGCATTGCCATAGCAACAGCAACAACCAGCTACATTTGCCTCCAGAAGGAATGCACAACCATGATTGAGCTGCTCAGCATTTCCCATGAGCCTTTGGGAAATAGTGCTCTGCCTGATGGGCAGATGTAGCTGTTTTCTCTAGACAACTCTTTTCCACTTCAATTTTTGATCTGTTTTTTTGACCAACAGAAATGACAGAAAAACACACAAAGAGACAGATTGAATCATATAGCGGGACACAAAGTAAAGACAAAATACGATTAGCAACCACACATTCATACACCTGGACAGAGCAGGTGAAAATAGTGCTGTGTCATGTGGCTCCTGGACACAGGATCTCCAGTCCTGCCCAGCCTCCCTTCTTTGTTTTACTAATCAGATGACATCTATTACAGAACAAAATTACTTCTAGAGGTATTTAGTCCAGGTGACTTTTGATTTACCTTCTATTTTTCCTTTTGAGTAGAAGCATTAGGGTGCCGCCAGTGTGCATATCAATGGTCAGAAATTATTTTCCTGAGAACTTTGGAATATCTCAAGATATGTAGTAACCTCTGAGAGTCCTCTCCAGACAGTACACTCTTACCTACTTCTGGGAGTCCCTAGGCACAATCTCTGGCGATTCTAATCAAGACTTCTAAAATATTATGGAAAACCCAGTAGAGATGACTAGTCAGATACAGTTTAAAGTCAATTAAAAGTCTATAATCCAGCCTACTGGGGCTATACTCAGATATCTGGAGGGGGTGTGTGTAGTCCCCAATGTCCAGGCAATGAGTTATTTAAAGGCAAAACCCAAATTCTGGCATCTTGTTTGGCAGTTGCAAGGGGATGGAAGGGTGATTTGCAGTAACAAGCAGTTTAACAGAACCTAGGATAAGGTAGCTGGGGCATCTTAACTTCAAGTTCCAAGAATAGAGCTAGGCAATTTTCCTTGGGATTCTTACTCAAGGAGATCAAATTCTAGTTCAACCTCAAATGGTCTCAGTAAGAGTCAAGATCACAGATTTGAGAAAAACAATAAGACTGATAAACTCTTATCTAAATTATCTAAAAGCTGATGTGGTTGTTGGAATAAAAATGCCCCTTTAGACCTGTAAGGAGTAGGACTATTAGGAGGTATGGCCTTGTTGGAGTAGGTGTGGCCTTGTTGAAGAATGTATTTTACTGGGGGTGGGTTTTGAGGTTTCAGATGTTCAAGCCAGGCCTAGTGGCTCACTCTCTCTTCCTGCTGCCTGTGGGTCCAGGTGTAGAATTCTTAGCCATCACTCCTGCACCATGTCTGCCTGAATGCTGCCATTCTTCTTGCCACAGTGATAATGGACTAAACCTCTGAAACATAAGTCAGCTCCAATTAAATGTTTGTAAGAGATGCTGTGGTAACAGCGTCGCTTCCCAGCAATAGAAACCCTAACCAAACACATGAGGAGATAATATCCAAATTAAAAAAACTACATATGAGAAGGGGAATATAACAACAGACACAGAGAAAATCTGAAGAATCATGAGGGAATACTTTAAAAACATCTTCCCAGCAAAACTAGAAGATGTAGAAGAAATGGCTAAAGTTTTCAATACATACCACTTACCGATGTTAAATCAAGATGGCACAAGCTACTCAAACATTTCTATAACCCCAATGAAACAGAATCAGTACTTAAGTCTTCCAACCAAGCCCAGGGCCAGATGGTTTTAACAGAGAAAAGTTAATGCCAATACTTCTCAAATAGAAACAGAAGGGACATTGCTCAAATTGTTTTATGAGGCTACAGTTACCCTGATACTCAAATCACATGAAGACCTAACAAATAAAGAGAATTACAGACCTATTTCCTTTATGAACATAGATGTAAAATTCTCAATAAAATACTTGCAAACTGAATTCAAGAACACATCAAAAAGATCATTCACCATGATCAAGCAGGCTTCATCCCAGAGATGAAGGAGTGGTTCATTATATATAAATTGGTAAATGTAATACTCCATATAAACATAGAAAGATAGTTATGGGTGGTTGGGATGGGGGCTAGATAGGGAGGATTAAGTGGTGAGGGGAAACAGGAAAGAGACAGGTAATACAGGGAAAGACAACTAAAATTAATGGCCATTTGAGGGGTAGTACAGAAACCTAACACAATGTGTAGTAATATTATTTCTATATATTCTAAATGATACTGCCTAATAATGTGGAAAACAGAACCCCAACTGGCCATCTCTTGTCATCAAATGAAGCTTCCAGTACTGGGATTGGGTTGCGCATAATTGGGTTGTTGGCCAGAGGGTCCCCATGTTGTTTTAGGATTTCTATTGCTGTGAAGAGATACCATGACTGGGGCAAATCTTCTAAAGGAAAACATTTAACTGAGGTTGGCTTGCAGTTTAGAGTATGGCAGCACACAGGCAGACATGGTACAGAAGATGAAGCCAGGAGTTCTATATACAGACAGTCAGGAAGAGAGAAAGAGACACTGAACCTGACTTGAGCTTCTGAAACCTCAAAGCCCACATCATGATTATTTTCTAATGAGAGGCATAATGGGGATGGTGATGGAGGCGGGAAAGAACTGAGAAGAGCAGAGGATATACAACTGTAACCAGGATATAGTTTATGTGAAAGAAAAACTATTCTTTAGACATTTTTATTGATTCTTTGTGGATTTCACATCATGTTTCCTGATCTGTTGCTGGAGAAATTGTTAAATTCACAAACTTTTCTCTTCCTGTTTTACAGGTTCTTTGGAAGAATGCTTGAGCTATTTTTGTCATCTAAACATTTACCTGAGAGGAATCAGCACACCATTGTCTCAATGACAAAAGGATGTGAACATGGCGCTCCACGTGCAATGTGAATGTGTGTGCTATTTCTTGTGTTTGGAATTAAATGAGTGTTTTTGATTTTAAAAAAGAAATCCTCAAGGAGGAATCACTTGACTCATATCTACTCATATTTCCAGGGTGAAACAGACCATCCTTCACCTGCACAGGGCTTCATAGTTTCAAGTTGCATAGCCAATTCAATGTGTGAGATAAATAGACAACCTTTGCCTACAACTTCTAGTTCAAATTCAGCCCATCATTTATTGTCTATATTACTTTAATTTCAAATGTTACTTTAAGTTTGTATGTCCTCATATGATTATGAATTATAATAGACTTTCTGTATGATTTTTGAATATTAAAGTACACAATTTATACATAATATATAAATATACATGTATCATGTTTGTGTATATGTATGCATACATGTGTAGGTAGAAAAGATTCTTTCATTTTTTGTTTTTCTTCAAATGAAATAACTACTTGTTTACATTTGAATTTCACAGCAAACTCTGGCAATTGTTCCCTGGTTCTATGAGTGACACTTAAAATAATTTCACTCTCTCTGAAAAGAGCATCTAAGTTTAGTCCTTTCTATTTTGAGGAAAGTACTGTTGATACTTTCCAAGAAGAAAAACTGATTTGGATATCTTGAGACTATTGAACTATTTGGGTTTAATAGTATTAGAGTCTATATCGTCTTAGTATCTCCTGACTTCTGATGATTCATGTTGCAAACATAGAAATATCCTGATAGTGAGTGAGCAGCTCTGAAAGAAATGTCTGAAAACTTGCTCAGATTTATTTGGGAAGACATGTGTCTTAAAATAATTTATATATAGCTTTTTAAAGGGTGCTTAAGCTATAATAGTCTTTGTCCTTAGTTCTGCTAAGCAGCACCAATGATCTGTCTTAGGTTTATTCTCTAAAACTATGCAACCCAAAGAAGGTCTATTTACAGAGCTACATGGTAACCGTATCTGCTTCTCTTTCTTTAAGAGTTTGTCTTATGAAAAAGATTCAATTAGTGAAACTGGATTTTGTTAATGTGTGTCATAAGCATCTGGACAAAGATTCTTAGGGGGCTGTTTCAAAGTAGCTTCAATTACCCATTGGCTAAAAAAAAGTCAGACAAGCTTTTATTTAGTGTACTCTCCATCCCTACATCTATTAAGTTACAAGAATAATGCTTAAGTGAAAGAGACTTGACTCCTCAAGGGCACTGGAGAGGCTTGCTGGTAAATGCTCAAATTAAGGTCAAACTTAGAGCAAAGCCATTTTAACTGAGAGTTCCTATAAACTTTCCTCTTTAACCAAAGTAAATAACTCAGAAATGAATTATTTATTTATCCCATATAAAATGAGACTAACACCTAATCTAGTAATGCTCATTAATTTTTACCATGAATGTTAAAATTTTAATTTGCATAATAATGATACCTCTTTACCTTATAAGATGTAAATTCCAAAATAAGATTTATCAAAGAAACAGCTTACACCATGAAAACTAAAAGCAAAGGCATGTACTCCTGATTTTTATGATCTACACACACAGTTACCAAGTAGTTCTTTTTGACGATAGTGAAGCCTTAATCAATAATCATGTATTCACACTTAATCCATCACCAGATTGTATGTGAAAATAGAATATAACTTGGTTACTGCTCTTGTGTAGAAGAAAGTATCTGTATGAGCAAATTATTTCCTCTAAATTGGCTTTGAAGAAGATAAATAGAATTCTGTTGATACTGGGACACCATTAAGGACTAGAAGGACGCCTGGCATGAAACACTGAAATTCAAATATGTGTCTGAGGTCTTGCAAGTTGACTAAGTAGTAAAACACTTGTGACAATACAAACACCTGCCACCAAGACTGACTGAGATTGATCCCTGGGACCCACAAGGTGAAAAGAAACAAGCAATTTCCACAAATGACAGCACAATCATACTTGCATTCACAAGTGCATTTGTGTGCTCAAAAGTGGATCCTAGCATCCAAACTGTAGATTGGTTTGTTTAAAGTACCAGTAGAATCCAGGAAACTAGACAGGAAATAGAGGTGGGAAAGTAATAGAAAGATCTGAATGACTTGAGAAGAATAGAAGCCAATGATTTGAAGGGAAAGGGGGAATAATGTTGGCAGAAGTTTAAATGAAGATATAGATGGGCAGATTAGGGCAGAAGAGAGGAATGAGAAAAGAATACCTACCACCGAAGATGTTTGAAAAAGCCATTTAAAAATCTATTACATTATCAAATCCATATACATACATACATACATATATATATATGTATATATGTATATATTCATATAAAAGAGTTCAATTAGAGTTACACTATACCAAGCTTATACCAGAAGGAATAGGTTGCCATTCTCATGTGATACCTCCATTCGAGGTATTGTTCCTGTAGATATCCAAAACAATTGTTCTTGGTTGTTCAAGATGTTCATTAATTAATTATAATTTGATGGTAAGATTTTTGCTGAAGACATCACACACATCTGTTACAGGACATGAAAAAAAATCAATTTGGTACTGCCCAGCAATACGCCTCTTGCTGGCTTGCTTTCATAGTATTGGAAGGTCCCGAGGGAAAACTCATCAACAATTTCATTCATCTGTGAACCCTATGAACTACAGTAGTGTTAACCATGGTAAGACGTGTCCACAGGTTCAGTACTGACATAACTGCTCTCTGATTTCATCTAAGACTTGCTCCACAGAAGGAAACACATGACTGGTACTATAAATCTGGCAAAGAACCCATGATTAGAAGCTCATGGGAGCCAGGGGTAAACTTCTCACTATTATTCTGCTAAAAGGACAATAGCATCAAACTGCCCTCTCAGACAGTGTCTCTATATCCATATTAGTCCAGCTCTCAGAACTTATAAAAGATTTTCTTTGTGCAGTAAAGGCTAACACAGAAGTTCAAAACTAATCAAAGTGCAGAGAAACAAAAGTCAGAGGAGTTCTTTGCCAAGAATGCCACATCTATATCATACTTCTCTCCCCAAGGTTCAGATATCATCATGGAAGAGAGGTCAGAGAATTTGTAAATGCCAGAAGTTGGGGAGTATCAGAGTGAAACAATGTCTTCTGGGCATGACTAGACACCTGTACCCATGCACTCTTTTCATCTGTCGTTGACCTTACAAGATTTTTCACAAAGTTAAGCTAGTAAACATGCTATGAGAAGGAGTTAATGAGCTGCTACACCTAGCTGAGGAGCTACAGGCATATGGTGAATTTTAGGGGAGAGAGGAACATTTTTCTTTAAGGGTAGCTCTGGATAAATTAACAATACTCCAGTGGATTTTTTACATGTAGGTGTACATGAACAACTAGAGTCAACACATTATTTAAGAAATAAAAAAAGGACTATAATTTAGGGGTGGGAATATGGGGAGATTTCGAATTTTTAGGGGGAGAACTGGGTCTTGAGTGTGATAAAAATATGTTGCATGAGATTCTCAAAGTATTAATAAAAATAAAATATGTGACTTAGTGGATCAGCTTCTGTAGTAACTTATATGGCAAGATAGTGATACATAGTAATAATTAAGCTTAGTCTGATTTTTTAATTTCTGTTTCTGTAATTTAATCGTATATTTATATTATCTATTATAAAGTCTACAAATTAATTTGATGAACCCAAATGTAATTTAACCATTATTTACT